TAATTTATTGAGTTACCTTGCTACCTTTATATCACGACAACATTATTTGCGATTTCTAGATTTCGGCACGAGCAACAAAATCGTTGTTTTGGCAACTAATTAGCAATTAATTAGCTATATATATTGCAATTTTGCTGGATTCGCCATGCTAGCGTGATAGGGCTCCCAAAGACAAGCATCGTAAATCATTCGTGTAAGTCATGACGATTCCTCGCGAGTAAACTATTATACTTTTTTATGATTTATTTTAGAATAAAATTCGTATGTGTAAAATATCCCAAATGAGACAAATGTCATTGAATTTCATAAAAGGAAGCAAGCTTGAAAAATACTCCTCATTTGGTTGTGCCACGATCATTGGTTTACAAGCTCAGAGTAAACCCACTGCGCTACATTACTTCCAACAAATTAGTGTAATTAAAAGTTATTTACGCTTCTGACTACTATTATTTTGTTAGTAAGTGACGAACTCTTGAGAAATATCAATTTTTTCGTCACATTACAAATTTTCGAGTCCATGTTTTTATTCTTGTTTTTCATGAGAAACTACATTTTTCAAAATGAACCATCAGTTTATTGATTAATTACGATAGCACTACGAGTGATCTTCTCATTCCCAAATTCAGTGTTGTAACTACAGAAGTCAGGAGGTTCTTTGACAACTGATGAAAATCTAGAGGTTCTAATTTGGTTCTTCACTCTAAGGTTCAAAATGAGTCCTATAGTAACGCACAAAAATCAGGAGCTACAGTGAAAATACCATATCCTTATCCCAATTCACAATCTCATTAGGTAACTCTAACCAAATTTCATATGAATAAAACTTTTTCAGATCAGCAGATAAAACTAATTGGAACTTTGGGTGTTGGTAAAGATTTACAGAAATTTCAATGCATTAATAACACAATTTGCAAAGCAGATAACTACAACTTGATTATTAAACCAATCGACGGTAGTTTGAAAATAACATGGGATACGGAAATCAGCGATGAAGTTTTCTCAGATTGCTTCGACCTCAAAGGTGCAAATTGGTACGGAGGACCACAGAGAAGAGTACAAAGTTGGCCATTGGAAAATATGAACATTGACGGCAGGGAACCATACGTTATCAAAAGATCAGATAACTTTGGCGTTGCTGAAAGATACTGGTTGAGTTCCAAAGGTGTCTCCATCTATCTGGACGAGACGGTTCCATTATTTGTCGACCAGAATTCCGAATCAAAGAGCGTTTGTTTCATTGCCAAGAGAGAAAATCCATACAGTGCCAGAAATAGGGTTTGTAAATTTCCTCTATACTTTCCTGAATATCTTCAATTATGATAAAATAGTGGAAAAAATGAAGTTGATTGTTGATATTTGTCATGTTATTGTGGAGGAAGGTGCATCATGAATATAATTTCAGAAACTACAGGTTACAATTCTCTTACTTGTTTTACAGATCTTCCTGAAAATTTTTTAATTATATATTATGAGTTATTTTTTTTCCACGAAGATGGGGTTTTGAATTCAACATCATCAAATTAAGAATATTGTTACATTTCTACAGGTTACGGACAGCAATTTTTCAGAAAAGTTGTACGAGAAAAAATGTACCGAGATCTCACCATCCAACGTGCAATTATTAGCAGGGATAAACGATATGCAAACAAGATGACACGCTCAAACCGTCAACCATCTTACTGATTTTTGTCATAATCGTTGGATAAAGTGATCTCTTCAAAAGACCATCATAAAGAAGGTTCCATAACGTAATGACTAGAATCGACCCCTGTACCCCATAATTATTCGTTTATTATTCCATATCGTTATCTGTCTACAGTAATATTATTTTTACTGGCATATTTACTTGGCAGAAATCATACCGTCTTAAGGATAACAGCGATAACAGCCCTGTTCACGGGTTTCACTCTTTAACCGTATTGGAAGTAAGTTCTCAAATAGTCTGGGCTATAAGTTTAGATTCGTGTTGAATGGACATACTTTTAGTAAAATTAAGTGGTTAGGCTCATTCGATCCGGAATATTATCTAGATCAATTTCACTAGTTCAGACTTCCATTGTCTACTTCGGAAAGAAAAAACGAGTGCATCCCTCTTGAAATTAGTGATGTGGCGAAAATTACGACTGCAGGCCTGTTACGAAATGAATAAAAAAAGTGAATTTTCATTGATTGACGAAAGAATAAGAATAGGGATTCGTTTTCGAAAAACATATTTTCCCGAATTACCTGAAAAAAAGTAATCATCCCCGCCTTGGACACGTTATTCAATGTTGAGAAGTACAATTCTCATCAAAACTCATTGATACAGTATATTGTATGATTTTCACTATAAAAGGTTTTAGAGCAACTGCTACACGTGTTTCGCTATACAATAGCTTTCTGAAGCTATAATAATAAGTTACTTCTAAATTACTCTATTTTATACTCTAACATATCACCTACTTTTTCGCATACTTTCTAATGAATGAATCTACCTGAAAAGGTGGGGTATCAATTCATAAAATAAATGAATACATTAAATTTCCGAGAATACTGTAATTGTACTTCACTTTTCTTACCTGGATATAAAGACATTTAATAATGGCGAATCATTCAGTCCAGATTAATCGTATTTAAACGTATTTAAAGGTATTTAAAGACTTTCAATATCTAATGAAAGATCAAATTGAACTGAATAAGTCACCATTATTAAATCTGTTTATTTCCAGGTAAGAAAAGTTAAGTACAATTAGGGTATTTTTGTAAATTTAATTCATTCATTCAGTTAATGAATTTATATCTGACCTTTTCAAATAGATTCATTCATTAGAAAGTAGACAAATAAGTAGTTGGTATGTGTATAAAATAGTGTAATTTAAAAATAACTTATTATTAACGCTTGAGAAAGCTATCGTATAGCAAACAATGTGCCGCAGTTTTTGTAAAACCGTTTATAGTATTAATGAGTTTTAATATGGATTTTCATCAAGTATCGGCCAGTTTTATTCAACAATTCTCATCAACCAGGTCATTTATATAGAACGTTACTCAACATTACCTACGTTTCTGAAACTCATATCCGGTGGTTATATACCGAAAGAGGCCTGAACTCTCCCTCAAGATGAAATTAACAAAACACTTGACGAAATCTAACTTGCGACAGAGGTGAGAAATTGATATTTTCCAAAAGTTCATCACTAGATAATGAAATAAGGCAACGGCACTCAATGAAAATAGGGGACTTGAAAGGTATTCGATCAGCGAAAATAGTTGGGAAGTTTACCGAAACAAGCATTTTTATTATATGTGAATTGAATGTATTAAGCTGCGACCTTGTAATGTATTGAAAGATTCATTTTTTATGAATTTATCAGAAAGGTATATTCGCCAATGAAATAATTGAAAACAATAAATTCGAAACTAAGGCTCAACAGATCGCAACATCTTTAAAACTTTCAAATCCAGAACGGGCAAACGTTTCGAAGATCCTCTGCCACCCTGAGAGTGGATGTGAAGACATCACTGCTTTAAAGAGGCATGGGGAATGGAAGTCAACATCTGTGGCGAAATGATATGGATATGATTCGATGAAAAATAAAAATGTTACTGCAGAAAAAAATTTAAATTCGAAGAAACAACCGTAATGGAAATACGAATGTGAATATAGAATCTTTGATACCATCTGTTATGATGTGCAACTGTTCACCATCAATTTTAATAACAAAATGTATTTCCTTCATGAGAATTGTTCGAAATATGATTATAGATATATTCCAATCGATGAAAGCTTTTTGTTATGAAATTTAAAAATGTTAGTATCACTTGCTTGCAATCGCATGCTAAAAGACAAGACCTCTTTGATCCTCAGCTGGCATAATTCTCGACTTCTGAAACAAACTCTCGTTCAGAATATCCTTCAAAACTAAATTTATTTTTCAAAATAATTATGTTATAAGTCAAAGAAAATGTACTGTTTCGTTTTTCACCGTGGGTTAACCAATAATTGACTATACTGAATAATGAAACTTAACTTTATTTCACTTCAAATACAACAAACACTTCAAATAAAACTCAAACTATTATTTGAATGTCTATCGCCTCACTAGATCACTTAGCGTACCGCACTGTAGCTTCCACTTGACTGTGTCGATATCCTCGTGGGTAGGCTTCCAATATCGTAATCGAATGTTGTTGAAATTTCGCCAAAGTTCCGCCGAAGTCGGCAGCATTATTCTCGCTGCTTCTAGGGTGGCGGGGAATCATCGTACAGTCTCGCGCTCTTAGCCACGTCCGCCTGGTTTATGGCTACAGTGGCGGCCGTCGTTATTTTCTTTCGGACATGATTTACAACAGTATAGTATTATTGTTCAGTTTCAATGTCCTCATTTTAGGTGATTCAACATTTTCTTTGGAGGTGGTTTTGTTTGAAGGTGAACTAATTATAAAATAATTTCATTTTTATTGAGGACTTCACACTAGAATAACAGATTTTGAATATATAATAATAGATTATTATAAATACATTATTCGACTTCTTTCTCGATATATAATATACATTTATACCCAGAAGGTGAATTCTTGAACATGAGTACCGAAACAATGCAATCTGTAGATATGTTTCAAAGATAAATAAATCAGAATACAATCAACTTTGTGACTGCATCCCATCATGACATTCAATGATTTGTAGAGTAAAACATGTGTTGCGGTTTTGTAAACTGTCCAGTGTACAAACTGTTCAGCGATATTACTATTATTCATAATATCATCCACAAAGTAATCTTGTTTAAAATATTGATGACATAAGTCATAGAAAAATCACACTATTCAACTGACGAGCAATGGTTGGTATTCGCTAGAAAGAGTAATAAACGACAAACTTCATTTTTACGAATAATGGCCATATTTCTTGCTCATTGAATAATATACTAATTTGACCCGTTTATATGATATATGTTTAAAGAAACAATGCAATTTCCTACAGATATATCTCAAAATATATATTAATAAGAACACAATTTAAAAAACAAATGAGACCTCGTTAATCCCCAGCTCGTACAAATTTCGATCTCTGAAGGTTGTCGTTCGTGGAAGGGGACGATAGCTAGTTGATGGAAAGACAACAGAAATAAACGTAAAATAATAATCTACTATCCAACGAGCGATAAATGTGGTATTTACTCATTAGAATAAAGTAACTCAACATGAGTCGAATGCAAATCATACGAGGGAGTAATGAGTCTTTTCCGCGAGCAGAATACTTACAGAATACTTTATGCAATATGATATAATTTGATTTGAAGCAAAACAACTGAAATTACAGTGAAATAAAATACAAGCAACAACCGAAAAGTAAAAAATGTGAAATATTAACACGAGATGAAAGTTAAAAAAATTATTAACTTGGCTAAATGCATTGTTGGACAACATATATGCGGCTTCTTTGAATTTTCTTCTAAACCAGTGTTCCTCCTTGTGGATGATTTCAGCTTGAGACCACTTGATGTTATGTTGATGAGTCTAAACATGCTCTGCTATTCCTGATTTGCTGGTTTCTCCTCGCTGTGTGTGTTTCTTGTACTCGGCAATGCGAATTTTCAATGGCCTATTAGACAATGGAAGTCTGAACTAATAAAATGTACCACGAAACATTGTCAACCACCTCCAAACAAACTTCACTTTCCCTATGACAAGCAGGAATATTTCAACATTGAATTCATTTGCGAAGGATATGTCGAATAAAAGTAGCAACATTGAGTTTCATAACACGAATCAGCTGAAAAATCATTTATCAAATATTATTCAATTTCATATAATTTGGAAATTGGGTTTCAAGAAAAAAATTAGTAACTACCGTTCCTTAGTGGAAATTGAATCCAGAACTCTGGTTTGCAAGTCCCGTATTGTACAAAAGATGCATACGAATTAGTTTGGCATGAAATATAATTGATGAACTTTCGAAAAATATCACTTTTTGCCACCTTTCAAATTTCTGGTGGAAACACTCATTTTCACTTCCCAAGTCCATGTTTTATTCTTATTTCGTTCGTTTTTTCCTGTCAATTCAGTGATAACGTTCCACATTTGAGAACATATTTTGAAGCAGGTAACTTCTCAAGGCTCACATGCAATTGAAAATAATTGAAACAATGCAGAATTCTGAATTTATTTATATATGATTGGCTCGAAGAGAGTATTGCCTACTAGCCTAAAAAATTGTCATATAACAGATCCTTTTTCCAAACTAACTGACTGTTATAAGGAAACAAGTATATCTGAGGTTCGAAATAGATGAACATTTCAATCTAGCTCATGCACATCAAGTTTTCTATTTCATCAAACGAAAAATATTTTTA